AATTCAGCGGCCCAAAATTTCACTGTCGTAAATGATGGTGCAGAGTCCCCATACACAGAATCCAACTCATCTTTGATTTGCGTAGGCGTATTGCCTTTCAAAAACAAATATTTAATGACAGCTCGATACTCGATTTTGTCCATTTTCACAAAAACACTCACATCAACTTACTCAAACGACTGTTACATAACAACTGCGAGTCCAAAATGGCTGAAACTTCGGTGAGTAACTGTCAACAGATGAACAACGAAATTCACTAGCTTTTATTTACAAGTGCTGCTATCTTCACGTTGAGGTCGGAAACTTTTCAGACCACCCTCGTATGTATATTTCTTATATATGCTTTTAACATGATGGAAGCAAAGTTAGTGTAGAAGCAAAGTGTGAGTAATTAATTACTTTTTTAATTAATTATCATGTTTAATTAATAATTAATATGAGCTAATTTGAGACCATTTAATTGGCAGGTGATTTCAACAAATTTAATCGAAGACTGTTCGATTAACGATTAGTTGTAATGAATTTAATTAAAGACCATTCAATGAACGATTGAGGGACGACAAGGAAATAAAAAATCGTACAATTAACAATTAAATTTATTTAAAGACTGTTAATTAGTGACAAAGTAACAACAAAGTTACATAGGGAAAAATTTAATTCATTTTTTTTTTATAACTGTGAGTAGAATATATCAGATTCACTCTTAAACTTCGAGTAAAAAAAATTCGGCAATTTAAAGCGAAGAATTTATCTTACATGAGTGAAAAATCACTCAAATTCGAATAATTCGGTGGTCACTTTATTTTCCGAATAAAATTTCACTTCAAGAAATTTTAAGATAACAATTTTGAAATTACATAATAACATGAATCAACTCTATCGTGGCTGCGTCGAATATTCTACTCCGACCATTTGACTCTATGAGAGTCAAATAATAAGTACTCTATAATCATAAAGTATTCCAATAATCATTATGAGATACGTGTTATTCAACAAATAAAATTTAGTTTATAACACGACAATGTAAAGACCTGCGCGATGTATATGACAAATCATATGAAGTTGATTCAACACGGATCTTATTAAATTCGTTTTACGGCTCTCATAAATCATTTCTCAGGAATATTGCTTATATAATTATGGCGCGTACGTGTCGAGCGCCAATTGTCAAGTGAAATCCTCGTTCGAACTAGGAAAATCCCTGTTGCGTAACAAGGTTGCTCGAGCAATAGGGAAAAACTGCTTTACGACGACCCACGAGGTCTCGGCATAATTCATAGTACGTATAGCAAAGTGGAATTTCCTTTCATGCTCGTGCAACACGCAACTTCCAAGTGTTTTACACGACGAACGATAACCAATATCACAGCGCTTGAAATGCGTTATCTATTTCGCGCGTATCGCATCATATGGATCGATCTGTCGAGTACACTGCCATCTTCTATAATTTGGTCACCATAAGTTCTCATGATTTTCTTTAAAAGCGTGAATTATATAAGTTATCATAATAATATATAAAATTACATTTGATTATATGTTTAATTAAATTAATTAAATTAAATAATTCTATTTATAATAATTATATTTGATTAAATATAACAAAATAATTATATTAAAGTTCATTTAATTTCTCTATATTTAATTTATTTACTTTAATTATATATTAAATTTAATTTAATTATACTTACATATAGGTAAATTATATTATATGTAATTATATGTTTTCGTCGCGTCGATCGTATGCACCGCAATTTACCATAATTTCAAAGAACTCCACTCGACATTACCGTAAGTTCACTTGAGATCTAATTTGTAAGAGACGCAAGTTAATTAACCCTTTGAGTGCGAAGCACTTCGGAGTTAAACAATCGCGGAGGACGAAAGACTTTGGACTGTCGTAAATTAATTAGTTAGAAAAAGGAACTTCTCGAAAAATCGAAATCAATGGACAAATGAATATTATTTACTATCGTCGCTAAAATAAAAGAACATAAAGACAAGTGCCATCGCAATTAGTAGCTGTTGCTTGTGTCGAGAGTATAAGCCGAAGAAATTCTTCGGGCTAATTTATGTGTCCATAGTCCACATCGATAACACTTGCCGAACACATACATGCGTTCACACACGCGAAAGGTTAAAGAAAAAACTGGAAGTACTAGCTGACATTCGCAAAACCTCGCTCGCGAGATGAAAATTGCACCGAGAAGCAAGCGAGTCACTGGTCTCTTACGTCATTATCTGACAATGCGATAAGCGTTGACGACACATGACTCATTTGTATTCGCGGACGTAATTGGTTTTCCTCCTTTGCGCCCAGGATTCCCCGTACATATCGCGTACACACATAAGCGATAAGCGGGCATTTACTTTCAATTTCGATTTTTATCAGTAGCACATATGCCATTACATGTGTGTGTGTGTTTGTTGCGGCACGTTACATAAATATAAAAAAAATGTGCGAAGGTAAAATGACGTAATAAATAAAATTTTACCGATAACATACTTAAAAACGACGATCGCGCGACGAGGCTCTTCAAGACGTACATTTGCCGCAGAGAATTGCCAAAAGACCTCTGAAACGAGAAGAGCAGATTAAATTACAGTTGCGAAATTAATCTAGTATTATATTAAGATTGTTCATGTTTAATCACTGTTAACTTGGGATGTTACTAAAAGGAGGGATTTTTGGTCATAATAAATTCAATATTGTGAATCGCGTTTATTAATAGTAGAGAAGTTGACCTTCGTTTTTGCCTGCTTGCCTCTTCCGCTTTCGTTCCGTTAAAAACGTGCTTCTTCTTTCGATTAGCCCGTTTATCTTCCTATAATAACACACATCATTTATTCAACATTTTGCCGAAAAGATTCTACGTGAAAAATTCTCATCTACAATATACGTAGAAATCTGTTTTGTGAAATCAACGAATACTCGGAGAGAAAATTTTATGATAATAATTACTGTATAACCTTGTAGCCAAACAATATATCCGACTTGCTTGAGTTTATCCTCTCTAAAGTTATCCTTCCATCTCATAGATGTTATTTATATTTAAGAACAAATGTTTACTGTTAGAGAATTTAGTATATATGACTTTTAGCAAGATAAAATTCTACTGACAATCTATTCCTGTACTACTAGAAAACATATTAAAATTAAAAGGAATTTATATGAGAAGAAAATATATAATATTCTCTCCGGGCAATTCCCGAAAATGTTAATTATTGTACAAAAATTAATTTACATAAGAATTAATTTTACTTACGTCTTTTAGTTCGCCAAGTAGAAACTTTTTCATTAACTTCTTAGCGTCTGAGGAGTGACCGAACTCGTCGAATTCGCTCGTGGCATCTCTCCCCGCGTACTCATCAAGTAAATCCGCACCACCGGGATGCTGTAATTATTCCATTCGCTATAATTCTTCCGTTAAATCTACCACATTGTATTATACAATTAAAAAGAATCGTCAAAAAAGTTTGCAAATATCCTAATCGAAGTCATAATGTAAACATGAAGAATCATCCTTCTCTCCATTACGCCGTGTTTATGATCGTATGGGGAAAAAATTGTATAATAAAGGAAAGAATTTTATAGTAAAAATTACTATAGAATTTTGTAAGTGAGGAATATATTGACATTTTGTTTTAATTTATTATCCTTAACTGTCTTAAATATATTATTTACATTTAGGAGCTGAAGTCTATTATGTAAAAAATTACTACACTTTTTAATTAAATTTATTAAATTTTTATTGAAAATTAATTTTCTATTTAATTAAAATTAATTAAATACTACTTAATTGAGAAAGAGAGAGATAGAGAGAGAAAACTTTAAAATCAAATATCGTTACTACATTTAGAAAATTACTACTGAGAAATTGAGTAAATTAAATTTTAAATTAAAATTTAATTAAATGGCATTTAATTAAATTTTATGTTGGAAATTAAAATTTAATGGACTTTCTAATAGTAATTGTTTAGACTAAATTCTACATTCTTTAAGAAAGTAAACTTTATTAACAATTTATTCTGCATCATTCGAAAACATAATAAAATTGGAAAGAATTTATATGGAAAAAGAACTGGAATATTCTCTCCATATGCTTATAAATTCACAAAATAGAACATTTGTGCACAGGAATCTTAAAAATCATTTCACAATCCATTGCATGGATAAACGCTGAAATTGTCGTCGCATGTATACCGTAGGTAGGTTTATTCAACGATTTCGAAATACAGCGGTGAAAACGTACCTGGTCCAAGTAATCCGTCACATCGTAAACGTTATCGTAGATTACGACCCAGGTTTTCGCTCCGTTCTTGCCGTTACACTTGGCGACATCCGCGAGCGAGTAACGTATCGACGAATCGTTCATGTTTCGAGAGAGTCACGCGGCAAACAGAGAGAAGTCTACTCAAGTCGACGATATAAGTAACATGTGCCGATCTCACGAAGATGATATTTCCGGAACGTACAAACGATAACATCTACATATCGCAACTTAGACTTGAGAAAGTAAATTTCTAAAAATAATAACGTCTGTATCAGCGTCTTAATTCACAATCTATTTATTTTAAAGAAGAATAATTTAATGTCTTACTTTTTACGTATAAACCTGTCAATATACGCATAAAAGTAATTAATTTATTAAGCACTAAATGAAAGTGTCAGAGAATGTGTGAATGTTTCATGAGATAATTTAAAAAGTTTTTTTACTATATTTTCGTATGAAATATTCCTTATAAAGCATTAATTGTTTTATTATTTTATTTTTATACTTTCGCACCTATATTTATGTAAAAAATTGTATGATTCGATTTGATAAAATGTTCGAACGATAAGCACCCACGATTTAGACTTGCAAACATGAATGTCTAGATATAATTACGTCTTTATTGTCCTTTCAATTCATAATAACTTCTTTTAAACTTTTTTAAACTTTTTTAAATTTTTTTTTAAAAGATGTCTTTTTATTTGATTTTTTTATTTTATGCATATAAACGCTCTTCTCATCAATGTACGTATAAGAGCAATTTAATTTTCAAGCACTAAATAAAACTATCAATATGTGTGTATGAATATTTTATGGGATATCTTAAAAATTTTACTTCGTCATATTTTTATATAAAATATCTCTCTAAAGTATTGTTTTATTTTTCACTTTTATTCTTTTACACACAACCTTGATTTACATAAAAAGTTATATAGTTCCATTTGAAAGAAGATGACTATCGCCAGTTATTCGCTACTAAAATTTGAAATATGAGAGCGATATTATTTATGATTAATTATTTAATTTATAATCTTAATGAAATATCAAATATCGTGATATGAATCGAGAAACGTAAACGAAGCTAAACATGGAAAGATTCCTATCTCCTTTGTACCATTCATAATCACGCAGCACATTATCAGATTATCATTGTAGATAATCAGATATGGATACAATGAAGCACGGGATAAATTCCTTATTCGGATGATTTTTCCCACCTTATACGCGCATTGTTAATTCTTTCACAAATCCTTTCAGATTAACCCAGTTTATGAAGTAAAACAATCTTTATAGAGTATAAAGTAATGCGGGCTGAACACTCCGCACTGAGAGAAAAATATAGTTGCTTTCGGCGTTAACTATACTTTTTTGTGATTTTAACCAGAAAAATAATTAGAAGAATCATCTTTCTAATAACACTTACTAAGACAATTCAATGTTTTTCTAATTATTTTTGTGGTTAAATTCACAAAAGAATATAGTTGACGCCAAAAGTAACTATATTTTTCTCTCAGTACATAGGACAAACTCGGATAAGATGGCCATACTTTTTTAAAATGCAAAAAAATACATTTCTTATTGTTATTTCTTAATAGCGTTTGGCATATTATTTCACTGACGCCTACAGTACATAATATCATCAAAGTTAATAGAAAAATACTTCAGTGAATTATTGAATAAAGAATATCAAGAATAAATTATTGAATAAAGAATATCAAGAAGAAGGATGTTGCGATATATCGTAGGTGATCGATTGTGTCGCATTGGTTCAGTTTTGTGACGTATTCATACGTCATAAGTGACGTTACCGGAAACACAATCTGGCGGTATACTTTAAATATTTTGGAAGTATATAGCAAAGGAATAATGATTTAAAACGAATAATAGAAAAATTATATTTTATTAGATAATATTGGAGAGAGATAAAATTAGTCACTTGCAATAAAAAATGAAATCAAAATTTAATCAATTGTATGAGCATATTGTCGAATGCAAATCTTAGATTTGTACTTATATACAACTGTTTTATATATAAGTTTTTAATAGTTGCTAAAAATAAACGTTATATTGAACGTAGCTATTATATATGAAATACAGCAAAGTTAACCTATACGTTGTACTTTTCATTTAATTCATTTATTTTACATTAAATATATTATATATCTATGAAATGTTTCCAGACATCCTCTTGTTTTCGAATGTCCACATAAACAACAACTTACTATTGTGTTATATATTATTTTTATTTTACACTGCAAAAACTTTAATTTTCTTGATACGTTCAGTTCAGCATATGGTTACAGGGAGACTCAGTAATATATATTATATATATCCCCCAACACCACTCCCAGTCTAGTTATAAGATTTGATAATAATTAATTTTCTCCGAAAATAATTCCGAGGATTGTTTCCAAAAAAATGTCCGAACTTGTTGAAACATATCTTTACGCCGTCCATACGTTACGCATTTATCTATTTCATTAATCGACAATATTATGTCACAACATTCGATTCCATAATCGATAGTCGCATTTGATTCAGTTTCATTACGGGTATTTACGTGTAGCAATCGGATTTTTAATCGGATTAATCGCAGTGATGTAAATTGTCTAGAGAGAAAGTTCCCTAGGCTAATCGGATTACCAAATCGTGCCCGTAAGGGACGGATCGGATTAGCGGATGCAGAGGAACATTGCGTATATACTTCCACATATCATAAAGCTGTGGTGAAAGGGCCAATAGGACCAGGCCCGAAAATCATTGAGAGAGAGAGAGAGAGAGAGAGAGAGAGAGAGAGAGAGAGAGAGAG